TTCAAAGTGCTGAAAGAAAAATAAAACAAAACAAAACAAAAAAACAACTGTCAGCCAAGAATACTGTACCTACCATGCCTGTCCTTCAGAAATGAAAGAGAGGTACTTTTCCAGACAAACAAAAGCTGAGGAAATTCATCACCAAGACTTACCTGAAAATAATTGCTAAAAGGAGTTCTTCAAGAGGAAATGGAAGGACAATAACTAGCAATATGAAAACATATGAAAGAAAAGAACCTCAATAGTAACAGTAAGTATATAGACAAATTCAGAATACTCTATTACTGTAATGGTGGTGTGTTATTCAATTTTAACTTTAGTATAAAGATCAAAAGATAAAAATAAAATAATAAAAATAACTACACCTACAAATATTTGTTAATGGATACACAATATAAAAAAAGTAAATTGTGCCATCCCAGAAACAAAATGTGAGGCAGAGGGGAGTAAAACAGTAGTTTCTGTGTGCAACCAGAGTTGTTATTACCTTAAATAGACAGTTGAAACTGTAAGATGTTTTATGTAAGCCCCATGGTAACCGTGAAGTAAAAACCTATAGTGGATACACATAAGATAAAGGCTAACTAACAAAAAAAGAGAGAGGACACAAATTACTAGTATCAGAAATGAAACAGGGGATATCACTATGGATCCTATGGACATTTAAAAATAGTAAGGGAATACTATGACCAGTTCTATGCCCACAAATTTGATTATCAAGATGAAATAGACTGATTGCTCAAAAGACACAATCTGCCAAAACACAAACAAGACGAAATAGATGATCTGAATAGACCTATATCTATTAAAGAAATTGAGTCAAAAATTAGTAACCTTCCCAAACAGAAAGTATCAGAGCCAGATGGGTTCACTGCTGAATTCTATCAAAATTTAAGGAAGAAATTATATCAATTCTCTACAATTTCTTTCAAACAATAGAGGGAAAGAGAATAGATCCTAGCATATTCTATGAGGCCAGTGTTACCCTACTACTAAAACCAAGCACATTACAAAAAAAGAAAACTACAAACCAATATCTCTGATAGATATGAAAATCCTCAATAAAATATAGCAAAATGAATTAAAAAAACATAAAAAGGATTATAACCACTACCAAGTAGGATTTATTCTAGATATGTAAGACTGGCTCAGAATTTGGAAACCAGTTACTGTAATCCATCCCATCAACAGAATAAAAAAGAAAAACCACTTGATCATATCAACAGATGTAGAAAAAGCATTTGATAAAATCCAACACTCATTCATGACAAAAACTCTTAGAAAACTAGGAATAGAGGGAAACTTTCTCAACTTGATAAAGACTATCCACAAAAAACCTACAGCTAACATCATATGAATGATGAGAAAATCAAAGCATTCCCTCTAAGATTAACTACAAGGTAACAATATCCCCTCTCACCATTCTTTTTAACACATTACTAGAACTCCTTGCTAATGTAATAAGGCAAGAAAAGGAATAAAAGTGTACAGATAGAGAAAGAAGCTATAAAGCTGTAAAGCTATGTTCACAGATAACATAATCATCCAAGTTGAAATTCTGAAAGGATCCACAAAAATTTCCTAGAATTATTAAGCAATTATTCAAGATTGCAAGGTACAGGGTACACAAAAGTCAGTTGCTTTCCTATATACCAACAATGAACAAGTAAAATTTGAGATTAATAAAACAGTATCATTTACATTAGGATAAAAAATACTTAAGTATAAATCTAACAAAATATATACAAGATCTATATGAGGAAAACTACAAAATGCTGACAAAGTCAAAGAACTAAGTAAGTGGAGAAATAGTTCATGTTTATGTAAGAAGATACCATTTCAATGATCAAGATACATTTCTTCCTTACTTTTTCTGAAGATATAATGCAATCCCTATCAAAATCCCAACAAATTTTTTTTTTTGGACATCGACAGACTGATTTTAAAGTTTATATAGAGAGGCAAAAGATCCAGAAGAGCCAACACAATATTGAAGAAGAACAAAGTTGTAATGCTAATGCTACTAAACTTCAAGCCTTTCTATAAAGCTACAGTAATCAAGATAGTATGGTAATAACAAAAGAATAGACAGATCAACAGAACATAAAAGGGAGACCAGAAACAGACAGACATAAATAAAGTCAACTGATATTTGACAAAGGAGCAAAGGCAATAGCATGGAGCAAAAGCGTCTTTTCAACAATGGTATATCATTCACTGCTATAAAAATGATTTATCAAGCTCTGAAAAGACAAGGAGGAACCTTAAATTCATATTATTAAGTTAAAGAAGCCATCCTAAAAAATACATACTGTATAATTCCAAATATATGACATTCTGGAAAAGGCAAAGCTATACAGAAAATAAAAGGATTGATGATTGTCAGGGGTGGGAAGTGGGAAAGAAATAAATAGGCAGAACACAGAGGATTTTTAGGTCAGTGAAGACACTCTATATGATATAAAGATGGATCTATATCATTAAACATTTGTCCAAACTCATAGAATGTACAATATCACAAGTTACTCCTACGGTAAACTACAGACTTTGGGTGATTAAGATGTGTCAATGTAGGTTCATCCTTTGTAAAAAGTGTACCAGTCTGATGAGCTATGTTGATAATGTGGGAGGATATGCATCTATAGGGCAGAGGGTGTATAGGAAATCCCTGTACCTTTCTCTCAACTTTGTTGTAAACCCAAAAGTGCTCTAAAAAAATTAAGTCTTAATTAAAATTATAAGCAAGACCCAAGTATATGCTGCCTACAATAGACTTACACATAGGCTGAAAGTGAAGAGATGGGAAAAAGTATTCCATGCAAATAGACAGCAAAGACAAGAAGGGTAGCTATACTTATATCAGACAAAATAGACTTCATGTCAAACCTGTAACAAGAAAAAAAGGAGATCATTATATAATGATAAAGGTATTAATTCATTGAGAGGATAAAATAATTATAAATATATATGCACCCAATATTGGAGCATCTAAATATATAAAGCAAATGTTAACAGCTCTTAAGGGAGAAATAGACAGATATTCAATAATAATAAAGGACTTTAATACTCCACTTTTAACAATGAGTGGAACATCCAGACCAAAAATCGATAAGGAAATACTGTACTTGAAATACATTTTAGACCAAATGGACCTAACTGAAATGCACAAAATATTCCATCCAATAGCAGCACAACACATTCTTCTCAAGCACACATGGAACATTCTCCAAAAAAATTCATATGTTAAGTCACAATATAAATCTTAACAATTTTAAGAAGACTGAAATCATACCATGTATCTGTTCTGACCACAATGGTCTGAAAATAGAAAGTAATAACAGAAGTAAGACTAAAAAAAATTCATGAAACTAAAAACATATGGAAATAAAATGACATATTCCTGAACAGCCAAAGAGTCAAAGAAGAAATCAAAAGAGAAATATCTTGAAAGCAATGAAAATGGAATTACATCATACCAAAACTTATGGGATGCAGCAAAAGCAGTTCTAAATGGACAGTTAATACAAAAATGTCTACATTAACAAAAAAGAAAGATCTCAAGTAAAATCCTAAGTTTATACCTCAAGAAACTAGAAAAAGAACAATAAACAAAGCCCACAGTTGGCAAAAGGAAGACAATAAGACAGGTCAGAGCAGAAAGAAAGGAAATAGAGACTAGAAAAACAATAGAAAACATTAATGAGACTAAGGTGGCTTCTTAAAAAGATAAACAAAACTGGGAAATCTTTAGCTGGGTTAATTATGAAAAAAAGGTTGAAGATCCAAATAAATAAGTTAGCAATGAAAGAAGAAACATTAAAACTGATACCTTAGAAATATAAAACATCATGAGACACTATTATGAACAATTATATACCAACAAATTGTATAAATAGATAAATTCCTAAGAATATGCAACCTACTAATACTGAATATTGATGAAATAGAAAATCAGAACAGGCCAATAATGAGAAAGGAAATGGATTCAGTAATTAAAGCCTCCCAATAAACAAAAGTCCAGGATCAGATATCTTCACTAGTGAACTCTACTGAACATTCAAAGAATTAATACCAATCCTTCTCAAACTCTTCCAAAAAACAAAAGAGGGAAGACTTCCAAACTAATTTTATGAGGCCAGCACCACCCTGATACCAAAACAAGATAAGGACATTAAAAGAAAAGAAAATTACAGTCCAATATCCCAGATGTATATACATGCAAATGTCCTCAGCAAAACACTAGCAAACCTAATTCAATAGCATGTTAAAATAATCATATATTATGATCAAGTGGGATTTATCACTTAGATGCAAGAATGTTCAACATATACAAATCCATGAATGTGATACACCACATTAACAAAATAAAGGACAAAAATCATATGATCATATCAGTATATGTAGAAAAAGCATTTGACAAAATTAGTGTCCCTTCCTTATAAAAGCTCTCAATACTTAGGTAGGGAGGGAATGTACCTCAACATAATAAAGACTATATATGACAAGTTTACAACTAACATCATACTCAATGGTGAAGGGCTAAAAGCTTTTCCTGTATGATCAGGAACAAGACAAGGATGCCTACTATGGTCACTTCTATTCAATATAATAGTGGAAGTCCCACCAGAGAAATTCAGCAAGAAAAATAAATAAATAAATAAATAAATAAATGGCATCCAAATCAGAGAGAAAGAAGTAAAATTTGTCTCTCTAGAAAACCCTAAAACTCTACCAAAATCTGTTAGAAAAAATAAATAGTTCAATAGAGATGCTCCATACAAAATGAACATACAAAAGCCAGTTGAATAAAAATCTGAAGATACAAATAAATGCAAAGATATCCCCTGTTCATGGATTGGAAGAATTAAAATTCTTAAAATGTCCATACTACCCAAATAAGTATACAAATTCAGTGTAATCCCTATCAAAATTCCAATAGCAACAGAAATAGAAAAGAAAAAAAAACCAACTTATATGGAAACCACAAAAGAGCCCAGATAGTACACACTTCAGCAGCACATAAACTAAAATTAGAATGGTACAGAGAAGATTAGCATTCCCCTGTGCAAGAATGACATACAAATTTGTGAAGCCATTCAGATTTTTAATTATTGAATCACTATATTGTACACCTGAAACTAATATAACACTATATGTTAACTATACTGGAATTAAAAAAAAAAAAAGAGCCCAGAAGCTAAAGCAATCTTCAGCAAGAAGAACAAAGTTGGAGGCATCACACTTACTGATTTCAAATTATCTTACAAAGTGATAAAAATCAAAACATATGGTACTAGTTTAAAAACAGATATTTAGACCATTGGGACAGAATAAAGAGCCCAGAAATAAACCCATTCATATGTATTCAACTAATCTTTGACAACGTTGCCAAGAATATACAATGTGGAAAGGATAGCCTCTTCAATAAATGATGTCGAGAAAACTAGATATCCACATGAAAAAAAAAAGGATGCTTATTTTATGCTACACACAAAAATCAACTGAAAATGGATTAAAGACTTAAATGTAAGACCTGAAAACCATAAAATTCCTAGATGAAAACGTAGGGGAAAACCACCTTGACAATGCTCTTGGCAATGATTTTTTTTCCCCTTTTTGGATGTGACACCAAAAGCACAGAAAACAAAAACAAAAATAAATGAGGGGGACTGTATGAAACTTAAAAGTTTTTGTGTAACAAAAGAAACAAGTAACAAAATGAAAAGGCAACTATGGAATGGGAGATAATATCTTCAAAACATATATCTCATAAGAGATTAATATCTAAAATACATAAAAAACTTGTACAACTAAATAGCAAAATATCCAAATATGTCAATACAAAAATAGGCAAAAGACCTGAAGAGACATTTTTATAAAGAAGACACATAAATAGCCAACATGTGCATAAAAGATGCTCAACATCACTAATAATAAGAAAAACTCAAATCAAAATTACAGTGAGATGTTACTTCATGCCTGTTAGTATGGCTATTACCAAAAATCAAAAAAGTAAGTGTTGGCAAGGATATAGAGAAAAGGGAACCCTTGTATGCTGTTGGTGGGAATGTAAACTGGAACAGCAATTATAGAAAACAGTATGGAGTTTCCTCATAAAATTAAAAATTGTAACTATCCTATGATCCAGCGATCTCACAGATGGGTACACAGCCAAAGGAAATAGAGTTGCTCTCTCAAACTGGTATCCACACTCCCAGTTCACTGCAGCATTATTCACATTAGCCAAGATACAGAAGCAACTTAAGTGCTCATCGACAGATATATGAAATATGATATACATATGTAATGAAACAGTATTCAGCCTTTAAAAAAAAGGAAATCCTGCTGTTTGTGACAACATGGATGTACCTAGAAGACACTATGCTAAGTGAATTAAGTCAGGCACAGAAAGACAAATACTGCATGATCTCACTTTTACATGGGCTTCAAAAAAAAAAAAAAACCAAACTCACAGTAACAGAGAGTGGAGTGGTGGTTACAGGGGCTGAGGGGTTGGAAGAAATAGGAAGATGTCATTCAGAGGATAAAAACTCTTGGCTAGAAGATGAATAAGTTCTGGAGACCTAATGTTATAACATGATGACTATAGTTAATAATAATGTATTATACACTTCAAATTTGCTAAAAGAGATCTCAAGTTGTTTCCCCACAAAAAAACTGTAACTATGTGAGGTGATGAATATGTTAATTAGCTTGACTATGGTAATCATTAAACAATGCATATGTATATTCAAAACATCATGTTGTGCTACTTAAATATATACAATTTTTATTTGTCAATAATATCTTAATAAAGCTGGAAAAAAACCCCTGCATAGCAGGACCTGCAGTGGGAGCTCACTTAGCCTGTCCCAAATTGACTGCTTCTAATGTAGCAAAACAAGACTTGGTGACATATTGCTCAAACATCTGTAGCTGGTAGGTATCTTTTCAGAACTTCACTTCTGATTTAAAAGCATGCTTTCCAAAAATCAATCATATTTCATCCCAAACTGATAATGTTAGTTGTCTTGCTATTTTATGTATATAATTTATATACCAATAAAAATTAATGAAATATAAGTAGAAAAAAGTAGTAAACAATTTATCAATATTCTATATTTAGAATACTTTGCAGGTATCTGTAAATTCTTACTTTATTCAAAAGAAACTAAAGCAATAAATTGTATCTGACCCATTACAAGCAAGAAGGAGGTTTCTGAAGACCAACCTGGCGACTTGCATTTAAAGAAAAGCTTTGGCCTCATATTTAAAATGTGATGAATAAATATGTATTTATATGTGAAATTAAAACAAAGTATTCAACTATGGTATGTATTTTTAACATGAGTTCTTTCTTTTGCCATTGTTTTTTCAATTAACCAATTAAATTTGGGTCCTGATCACTTAAGATAAGAGGGCTTTCCAATGTCTGTACAATGCATTACCTAAGCTGCCAGGAATACTGCTGGGCTAACAGCATAGCCCTCAGCTATCTACCTCTCTAGAGATTTCCCTTGGCTAATGAGAGCTGCCCTGCCACTAGAATCTAATGGCTGGTTATTTTGCCAGTATAAAAGCCCAACCTCCTCATTCCAATTTGGAAAACTCTCAAAGGTCATTCCAGTTTCAGCGCTCTCTATGGGGCTGACCGAGCTTTTATTGAGACTGCATTACAGTCCAATTTCTCCCCCACTCAGTCCTGCTTCCTCCCCTTCCCTATTGGTGTTGATTCTGAGGGCATGCTCCAATAAACATCGTGATGCCTAAGGTCAATGTGAGTAGACTTTCCGTGAGTCCTGCAATAGGCTTCTACAGTGCTTTCACTTTAATCTGGCTTTCAAAGAGCATCTAACCACTAGCAATCAGCCTGAGTATCAGTGTCAAAGTTGAAGATCTGACTTAAAAACAATGCAGAGATACAGTCCCCTCTTTCTCTTTTACACTTCCCAATCCTCTTTCCATGTCTCCTTCTCCTGTGAAAGCCCACAAAAATAGATATCTGATATCCTATTTCAGTATAATTTTCATTATATCTCATAAAATATACCATATCATTATAATTAATAGCTATAATATGATAGTCGCTGCTGCAATAAATGGACCCAAAATTTATGTTTCCAACCCAGTAGAAGTTCATTTCTTGCTCATTTATCAATAATCACCAGGTAAACAAGATGGCATGGAGCCTTCTTCCACACAGTTGTTAAGAAGTTTCTGCTATTTTCACCAAATGTTTTCTCAAAGAGCTGGCTTTATTCCATTCAACAGGACAGAAGAAAAGTGTATGGAGGAAGAGCTATGGAGGTTTTGGAGGCCACACTTGAAAATAGTGTGCCTCACTTCCATTGAATGTTCAGTTGTGAAGCCAAACCAAACTGCAAGCAAGACTGGGAAATGCAGTCTTCCTGAACATCCAGGAAGGACAAAAGAATATAGATTTTGGTGAGCAGCTCTGCCACACTAGGGTCATCCAAAAGTTTCATCTCCTAGGACACAATGGGTAAATTTTCTGCGTACAAGACTTTTTCTGAGACTTGTAACTGATCTATGAATTTGAACTCTCCTTCTGTTAGACCCTTTCTGTATATGAGCATTTAATGTGACTGATGCTATTGATTTTTATGTTCTTACAATTTATATACAAAGAACAACATATACTTAATGTTCACAACTTGATGGATTTGGGCATATGTAAATACAACATGGTATCATCACCACAATCAAGGTAATAGACTTATCCAACACTTCTCAGAGTTTCCTAAATATGACACCAAAAGCAAGGCAACAAAAGCAAAAAGAGACAAGTGGGACTACATCAAACTAAAAAGTTTTTTCATGGCAAAGGAAACAATCAACAGAATGAAAAGCAACCTACAGAATGGGAGAAAATATTTGCAAACCATATATCTGATAAGAGACTAATTTCCTTTTTTAAAAAGTTTTATTTATTTATTTGACAGAGAGAGAGAGACAGCTAGAGAGGGAACACAGCAGGGGGAATGGGAGAGGGAGAGAGAAGCAGGCTCCCCACTGAGCAGGGAGCCCCTGACCCTGGGATCAGGACCTGAGCTGAAGGCAGAAGCTTAAGGACTGAGTCACCCAGGCACCCCATAATTTCCAAAAATATGTAAGGAATTCCTATATCTTAATAGCAAGGAAAACTAGTAATCCATTAAAAACTCGGCAAAGGTCTTGAACAGACATTTCTCCAAAGAACACATACATATAGCCAAAGCATGCACAATATCATTAATTATTAGGGAAATGCAAATTAAAATCACAATGAGATGTCACCTCACACCTGCTAGGATAGTTATTATTAAAAAAAGTGTTGGTGAGGTTGTGAAAAAATTACAACCCCTATACACTGTTGGCAGAAATATAAAATGGTACAGCAGTTATGTAAAACACTACGGACATTCCTCAAAACATTAAAAATGGAAATACAAAATGATCCAGCAATACCGCTTCTGATTGTTTAAAAACAATTGAAATCAGGATCTCAAACAGATATTAGCACTCCCATGTTTATTGCAGCATTATTTACAATAGCCAATATATAGGAACAACCTGAGTCCATTGAGAAATGAATAGATAAAGAAAATGTGGTAATGAATACAGTAGAATATTATTTAGCCTCAAAAAAATTCTGCCATTTGCAACAACATTCATGAACATGGAGGACATCATGCTAAGTGAAATAAGCACCACAGAAGGACAAGTAACTCCATGATTCCTTTTATGTGAGTATCTAAAATAGTCAAACTTTTATAAGCAGAGAATACAATAGTGGTTGCTGGGGGCTGTTGGGTGGGGAAAGTAGGGAGTTGTTCAGTGAGTCTAAAGTATCAGTTATGCTAGTTGAATAAGTTCTAGAAATTATGCTAGTTGAATAAATTCTAGAAACCTGCTGTACAACATACTGCCTATAGTTAACAATACAGTATTGTACACTTCAAAATTTTTTAAGAGAATAGATCTCATTGTTAAATATTCTTACCAAACACAAGACAAAACAAAGGGAATGTGTATGGATTTTATAGATAGTCATATCTTTAACAGAAGTCCTGTATACATTTCCAAAGAAATATACAATCACACAT